TGTTGAAAATTCTTATTTATGAACAAATTGGTGTAATTTTTTGGCGTTTTTTATTTTATAATTGAAAAACATAAGGTTTTGAAGGTTTATTGGCATAACCATCTTATAGAACATGCAAAAGCTTTAAAATGATGATTTTCAAAATTTATATACGTATTTGTTGTTAAGATAAAAGCAAAAAAGAGCAAAATTTGAAAAAATAAATTAATTTATATCTCTTGCAAAAATGGTTCTAAAGTTTTGAAATTTTCCTCAAAGTTGGGTCTTCTAAAGCTTAATATGTGATAAAAATTTAAAAGCGATTCGTTGAATTGTGTAAATTTTCTTCTATTTAAAATGAGAAAAGGTAGCAAATATTTGATTTCACGCAAACAAATCCTATGTATTTCTTGATACGTATTTCGACCTAATAGGTCTCGTCAGAAGAGCTATTCATAGGGGTTCTCAACGTGAAAAATCAACATTTTCTGCCTTTTAAGAAGCAACAATAACATGGCTTTAATACGGACGCACTAGCGACATCTAATTACAACAATCGTAAAATAATTACTATTTATAACTGGGAATAAGCCACATTAAAGATAAAAATACATTTATTGACGTTTCAATTTCCAATTCGGAAATCGTTCTCAAAATACAAATAGTAAATTAAACAAATTTTGTTTTTTGTTACATAGTGAAAAAATTCTTCTGATAATTTAATTTTATCTGACTCATTTATATTGACAATTCAGACATACATTATGCATTTTAAAGTAGACGACTTTAAAATGATATTGCCAATATTGTTGAGTTGCGCTCCTGGGACGACTTTACTTATAAGATAGTTCATTCGATTACATGAAATCAACTTTAACTTGAGAATATCCGTCAGAAAAAATCATAGCATGTAATTCGTCTTTAAAAAGACAAACACATGACATGATGACAGTAAAATTCTCCTGTTAGTGATTCCATAGTAAATTATGAGGGAAAAACCAGGAAAAAAACCTCATAATACTATCCCGACATTGTAAGTATTTGTTCGTGAATTTAGTTTACCTTCAACAAACATCAAAATTCTGATTTTATGTTACGTTATTTAAAAAACATAAATGATGTATCCTCTATATGTTACTGACTTACTAATACTGGTATTTTCTTATTAATAACTTCCTCTTTCAATATTGGTAACCAGATCCTACTACATTCTGCCGAGGAATTTGCGACACAATTGGCCTCATTTAGCATAATTAGAGCCGCTTCTTTGATTTTTCTTTTTTTACCATCCGTTTCTTTTAGGACTATATTTGAATTATTCCATTGAACTCTATGTTCATTATCCCATGCGTGTTTACATATTTGAGATCTATCAAATTCTCTATTTTTAATATAAGATTGATGTTCACTTATTCTAACATTTAATGGCCTTGATGATTCACCTAAATAAAACTGATCGCATTCACAAGGTATTTTATAAATGCAATTCTTTGTCCTTTCTTGTTCATTGTTAGGTTTGGTTTTGGACAAAATAGATCTCAACGTGTTTGTTGTTTTGAATGTTGTTGAAATGTTGAATTTATTTCCTATCCTTTTAAGTTTTTCTGATAATCCTTTTATGTACGGTATTGTTATTTTCCTCATATTATTCCTTGTGTATGCTGTAGGATCTCGTTCTAAGCTGTTCTGTTCTATTCGATCGATTGTTGAAAATTCCTTATTTATAAACGATAAAGGATAATCATTTTTTAATAAAACAGATGTTAATAAATGTTTCTCCTATGGAATCACTAACAGGAGAATTTTACTGTCATCATGTCATGTGTTTGTCTTTTTAAAGACGAATTACATGCTATGATTTTTTCTGACGGATATTCTCAAGTTAAAGTTGATTTCATGTAATCGAATGAACTATCTTATAAGTAAAGTCGTCCCAGGAGCGCAACTCAACAATATTGGCAATATCATTTTAAAGTCGTCTAGTTTAAAATGCATAATGTATGTCTGAATTGTCAATATAAATGAGTCAGATAAAATTAAATTATCAGAAGAATTTTTTCACTATGTAACAAAAAACAAAATTTGTTTAATTTACTATTTGTATTTTGAGAACGATTTCCGAATTGGAAATTGAAACGTCAATAAATGTATTTTTATCTTTAATGTGGCTTATTCCCAGTTATAAATAGTAATTAATTTACAATGCCACAAGAAAATAGCTTCAGAACAATATTAATCGTAAAATAGTTTCGAAACACAATTCAGATTTCTGCTTTATAATCTGAGCCTTCTAAAAATTGCAAGGCAAACAGACGTTGATAAAAGATGTTAAAAGAGGGAAAAGAAGGATTTCTGCTTAGTTGTAAAAGACATGTCGTGGAATGCAAATTTTAGATTCCCCATGTCTCTTTTAACATCTTTTATCAACGTCTGTTTGCCTTGCAATTTTTAGAAGGCTCAGATTATAAAGCAGAAATCTGAATTGTGTTTCGAAACTATTTTACGATTGTTGTAATTAGATGTCGCTAGTGCGTCCGTATTAAAGCCATGTTATTGTTGCTTCTTAAAAGGCAGAAAATGTTGATTTTTCACGTTGAGAACCCCTATGAATAGCTCTTCTGACGAGACCTACTAGGTCGAAATACGTATCAAGAGATACATAGGATTTATTTGCGTGAAATCAAATATTTGCTACCTTTTCTCATTTTATTCGGATTTACTCTGTGTGAGTACAAGAAGCACAATTCGCTAAGGATTTCTGCTTAGTTGTAAAAGACATGTCGTGGAATGCAAATTTTAGATTCCCCATGTCTCTTTTAACATCTTTTATCAACGTCTGTTTGCCTTGCAATTTTTAGAAGGCTCAGATTATAAAGCAGAAATCTGAATTGTGTTTCGAAACTATTTTACGATTGTTGTAATTAGACGTCACTATTGCGTCCGTATTGAAGCCATGTTATTGTTGCTTCTTAAAAGGCAGAAAATGTTGATTTTTCACGTTGAGAACCCCTATGAATAGCTCTTCTGACGAGACCTATTAGGTCGAAATACGTATCAAGAGATACATAGGATTTGTTTGCGTGAAATCAAATATTTGCTACCTTTTCTCATTTTATTCGGATTTACTCTGTGTGAGTACAAGAAGCACAATTCGCTAAGGATTTCTGCTTAGTTGTAAAAAAAATGTCGTGGAATGCAAATTTTAGATTCCCCATGTCTCTTTCAACATCTTTTATCAACGTCTGTTTGCCTTGCAATTTTTAGAAGGCTCAGATTATAAAGCAGAAATCTGAATTGTGTTTCGAAACTATTTTACTTTTCTTCTATTTGTTTATCCCAGAAAGTTGTTTTTTGCAATAATATAAATCAGAAAAAAATAAAGTAAGAACAATTTTTTGCTTATAAATAAAAAAGTTATTCTATTATATTAGAATTATTTGTAAAATAATTATTTTTACATATTCAGAAAGTAACAATGAAACACTGAAAACTTTGTTTTCAAACTTCCACAAAATTTATTTTAAATCTTATCACTACAGCTGTTTCGGCTGATTCCCTTTCTCAAGTGATCTATTTTTGGCTTGGGTTTACAAATTTATAGTCTCCAATGAAATAGGTTGAGGCGGGGAAAACGGTTTGTCTCAAGTTGGTCATTCAGAATTATATCTGTGTTTTTTAATTTGTTAATTTCCATAGATTCTAACAAAGATAGCTTAAGGCCTTTATTTTGAATGTGAACTGAAGGGGGACTGTACAGTATGGCGTCGGCTCGGTAATGTTGTGGGGTGGGATTCATTTAGAGGCTCGTACATAATTAGTTAGAATAGATGGCGCTCGGCTTACATCGCAGAGGTATATAACAGACATTTTAGAAGAGCATGTCGTGCCATTTGCACTATTTATTGGGGATAATTCCATGCTTATGCAAGATAATGCCAGGCTACACACGGCAAGAATTGTGCAGCAGTATCGTCAGGAGGTTGGAATTCCTACCATAGATTGGCCTGCGAGAAGTCCTGACCTTAACCCAATTGAACATGTTTGGGACATCATAGGCATACGACTACGACAACTACCTAATGCACCAAACACATTAGATGAACTGTTTTTGCGGTTGGTTGAAATTTGAAACCAAATTGATTAAGAAAAAGTCAGAACGATTATTCTGAGTATGAGAGATCGTTTTCAAGCAGTAATAAATACCACAGGAGGTAATATTCGATACTAGGAAACGGTACTAGTATTTTCTTCAACTTTAAAAATTTCAATTTCGTCATTAATTTATAATGTTAGTTTGTTTAGATCAGTTGTTTGTTTAGATTTATGATGTTATATTGTTAATTTCAATACATTTTTTGTGAAAAAAAGAAAAGTTTTTTATTTAAGATGTTCTAAAACAACCATAAAAGCAGAAAATAACAAACAAAAATTTTTTCATTACAACTCAAAATAAGAATTTTACAATTATGCCTTAATTTTGGAGCGCAGTGTATATATAAAACCTGACGATGTAAAATGTGGTGGAATTTTTTTTAAATCATCCTGCATACTAAACAAAGGGAGGTACAATGTATTTCATATTAGGTGTCGTTATAATGTATAATAATCAGCAACAGGAAGAATTGTTTCCATATATTTTGAATTTTTTACACATTTTAGAAATTAAATTTTGCAAAAAGATATAAAAATAAAAAAGAAAGCTGCCCAACCAACAAATATGTAGGAAAGGGCTGTTTCCAATTAAAATCTGTTGAAAAAGAAATGTGGGGGTCGATTTATAGCTTTCCGACCAATCGTAGACAAACGCTTCCACCTTCAACGACACCTTAACCAAAACAAAAATATGAATGATTGCTTGCCGGCCAATGCAAGGCGTAGGATTATGTAAATATTTGAAAAATGAATAGATGTGCATGAAAAATTCGTCTATGCATCGTCGCATTAAAGCTCTGCAGCGCACTATATTTCGCTAGATCTCCCCCAACGGCCGATATTTTCAAGCCCACAGTGCACTCGCACTCAGTGTAAGTTTATTCGTTTTCAGTCGTACTTGTGTGTGAACGTTTTTTCCACTGCATTCGGTCGGCATAGTTTTGTTTCTCACGGTACTCTATCGAGGGAAAATACATCGTGTGAACCGAAAACTGTTTGGCAGGAAGTGGCCTATTAACGAAACAGAACTGTTTCTGTGTGAAAATTTCGGAAATTTTTTTAAACTGGAAGAATTCATGACACATTTTGTAAAATGGTTGTGGACAAAATTGTAAGTTTGTTTTGAATATTCAACTTACTTGAAATTGTAGACAAATATTTTGTTTTTTATGGGATTACCTATCAAACTTGTTTGTATACAGATTTGTTTTTACTAACTATTGTAAAAAGTTCAGTCTAAAGTTTCTATAATATTTTAAAAGAGGCATTGGTAACATAAAAGTTTATTAGACTATAAAAGGCACCACAATCTCTTAATTTTTGTACAGTGTATCTTTTGATTTCTTTATTTGTTTTTATAATTGTATTAACTTTTTACATTACTGAAATCTTTGCTAGTTGTTTGTATCCTGACTTCGTTTTGCAATAATAAATATGTGCCATCTAAATATTTTTGTCTTTGCCTAGATTATTTTTACAAATGTATTATACAGTCATCTGAATATAATGGATAATTTATTTATTTTTGATCTTACTACTCAATTTGTAATAATATTCAGCCCAGGATGAAAGTGCTATATTTGAAACTCCTTTAATTTCGAGTATTTTTTTTTCAATGTTTTGCTCAGGTCTTTTATAAACTGCCCCCTTAACCAATTATTTATTACCATTTTTTTAATTAATAAGCTTTGATATTGATTCTAAATCCTAGCAAATTAAAAAAAAATAATTCCATTACACCGATTTTGTAAATATTACTATGGCTTTATTGTATCTATTTTCTTGAAAAACATTTCAAAGAAAAAGCAATACAACTTTTGTAGTATATTATATACTACAATATGACAGATGTTTAGTGTTAATGTGCCTGATCTGTTGATTTTATCCTATGCACAATTTACTTCATAATATTACCTATACACAATACAGTAATAATAAATTATATGAATCCCTCTCTTATACGGAAAACCAACAACAAATAATGTAATTGTATACCATGTATGCAATTTGTACAGTTCTCGTAATGTTCTATTGTAACTTGTGACAGATGTTCATTAATTCTTTCAGAGTATCACCTGGAGCTTAGTCCTATATACAATTCATCATTTCATAAATCGATAGAAACTGGGGTGGATTTTTTTATATTTTACTGAATCTCTGGTAAAAAAGAAAAAAATGTGGCGTCTAAGTAATAAAAATTTCTTGATATTAATTCAAAAACATTAGTTTCACAATATTCTACTGTACTGTCAATCGAAATTTTATTGATTTATTTTTTATGTTAATGATTATTCATTTAAGCTATAAAAATGATGCTGTACTTACTCATTACTATTAATAAGAACTTATTTTTTTTTTTTAAATTATTATGCAAGTTTCTAATTTTCAGACTTGTGACAGGATGTTTTATGTTTTTATTTATAAATACTGAGCTAATACATATATGACAATATTATACAGTGATATAAACAAAATGTATGTTGAAATTGGCGATTGGCGAATCATTCAAGTTTTTGAGACTGCAAATATACGTACATTAGCCAAATGTCCTATTCTATTAATGAAAACATTTATGTAATCCCATAAAAAATAAATCTGGTTTGAGGTGTCTTGATATATTCCACATTTTTTTGTAGAGGTTCATATTGTTTTCAATAATTGTTATTGTTTCATTATTTTTTGTTTCTCCATATTCTTTCCTACAAAATTTCACCAGTACAAATGTTCACCAACTCTACCGCAACCTTACGTTTCCCCTGCTATTTTCTCTCCAGAGTTGTTTTGTTTACCTTTTCCACTTCAGTTTCTATGTGTTATACATGCTTTTTATTGCACTATACATCGTTCCGTATATTTACTGATGATGTTAACTACAACAATTATTGAATTACTTGTGTAATGCCTTTTGCTTGAAGACACCTCAACCAACTAACCTAAAGACGAAACTTATTGGAAGTCCTCATAAAGAAGCAGTTACATAAATTGTAAAATTTTAGCATGTGTAAATATCAATGCTTGACGCAGTAACCAGGGGAAGCGAATACGTCCAACATTCACACTGTCAAAATTCCGATTTTAAAGGGAGAAGACAAAAATACCGGTTTTTGATATAGAGCGTTTATATCTAAAGAGTTTGATGGTACTCTGCATAATTCCAACCTTCAAGTAAGCTAAACTGGGACTTGTTAATTGTACTTTAATGTCAGGTGATTTGGGTGTAACATTAGAATTAATAAACCTAAATATTTATTACCTCTAATATAACCTTTTCTTGCCAGGAACTATCATATGCGAGCAGTGTTTACACATTCAAGAGGTTTTGGGTACTTCGTCTACAACTCTTTTCCTAATTTATTTAGTTCACTTAGCTGTTTTTTTCGCTTTAAATAAAAATTTATGTTCAATGACTGTTCTTTATCATTTTATACAAGTTATTACTTCATAGCTTTTCCGTACATAAGACGAACTAACCATAGCAAGGTCCGTTTAATAGCCAAGTGGTAAAAAAAGCCCTATTTTGTCTTCTGCGTAATGCATAAATAAATTGGGCATTTCCAGATCTTTTGAAAAACAATTTATAAGTGCCATAGATAAATTTTGTTCTGAGGAGCAAGATATCTAATCCAAACCACCTGACATTAGAATCTACATTGTCATTTTCACGTACATATTATTGTTTTCATCAGTTTTATGTAGTTAACTTTTCCTCTTCTTTTTGTTCATCTGTTTTAACTTATTTATACTAGCTTTTTAGTTGTTACAGTAAAAGTATTTTACGTAGTATCATTTTGTTTAAATTTTGTTTGATATTAGTTGGACGTGTTCTGCTACAAATTTAAATTTGCTGATGAGTTTAATTGACAGACATTTATCAGAAAAACAGAAGGTTTTGTTTATTTGCTTTCATAATTTGTAGTTGTATTCTGAGTAGACTGTAGACTTAATATTTCTTGACTTGTGTAGTCTTTGTGTAAGTATGCGTTTTTTAAATCTGTTTGTCCAATGTAATTTTTATTAGCAACCTTTCAGATAAGGAAGAGCATTTAATAAACGGTCACTACAAAACACAAAACGCTCATTTAAATGGAAATCTGTAGAACAGATCATAATAATCCCCAATCTTTTAAAAATTAGGTTATTTATAGAGGGCAGAATGGTTCACGTAAAAAATAAGCATTTACACTCAAATAGTTCCACTATAAACAATTAGTTTGTAAAACCATTCAAAATTTCTTCAGGATGCATTTTAATACAAACAAATTTCAGTATGCAATTTTTCTCATATACAAAACTAATACTGGACAGTTATGTATTACATAACACAGAATTATCTGTACTGCTCAAAGTAATATCTAAGCCCAGCTGTTACTCACTCCCCTTTGTATTTACGGTCGGATCTCTTTATCATAGAACAATAACAAGGTCCCTAATTTTACGAACTCGAAATGAACGCTGTATCCCATTGCTCTCTCCTCATTTTCATTCATGAATCTTGAAAATGACTTCACTATTCTCGAGACACTTCCTGTTGTATATTGTCTATGAAACAACACAGATGGACGATGTTTATGGTTCCCGGTAAAGTACCGGACTCGTTGAATAAAAAAACTACGCAGTTCTAGCGGTGGTTTTAGTTTCGCCCTGCGATGATTCATTGATGGATTTGTGAATATTGAAAATCCCGTGAAGGGTTAGCAGATCAGATCCGTACTAGGACATTACAACACATTTTCTTAATGGTCACTTATATAGGATTTGTAAATAGAGAAACGGAAGTTTTCAATAAAAAGGTTTTTATCTTTTTATGATCATATCGTCTTGGATCGTCGTGGATTCGTGGATGTCGTGGATTCATTTTTGGACGTTTTTTACATTTGGTCTCAGTGAATAAGTTTGACAGATTGAAATATTGTTTGGCAGTGTTGAACTTTACATTACAAATGAAATATATGCACTCAAAGCAATATGTTTAAAAATTAATACTTTAAAATTACCAAAAAAGAAAAAGAAAATTGTTTTAAAACAGGTTTTAGAAGGAAATAGTAAAACGCCAGTATAAATAATAAAGTTACAAAGGCATCTGTTGCAATCTGACAATTGGTGGTTTAAGGGTTGTAAGTTATCAAGTTGCAGAATCCAAAGAAAAAATAATAAATGTACGGTTTAAAAGCTTATTTTCTTGGTAAGCATATAACATATAAATTATAAGAACATGGCAACACTGCCAACTCAATATTTCGTTCTGGGAAACTTAATTGCCAGCTCATTTGAGGCTATCTTCATTGGGACCAAATGTGAAAAAGGTCCCATTTTTTCTGGGCTCTTCCTTTTTGGTCTCGTATCCCTCATGTTTTTCTTCCCAGTTTTCCTTGAAAGACACCCGTTTCTGTTAAACTTTTTACCTGCATAATTCAATTAATTCTTTGTCTATATGTGTTAGTACTACATATTTATCGTCTACAAATAATTTCTAAATTTCACAATAGTTTCATAATTTATTTGATTTTTTGATGATGATGATTTGATTTTGTCTAAATAATGCTTTTGTGAGAATTTTTCCATTTTTTGTTATATTTTACGTTTTAGAGCTGCCAGTTAAGGGTTTCTTTGACGTTCTTCTTAATTTGTTTTGTGGAAATTATGGCTTATTCCCCGGTATAAAAAACGGACGTCATTAGCAGCAAATATCAACCATGGAACAAAATATTTGGGTTTGGTAATGTTACGATGTCTTTATAATAAAACGGGAAAAAGCATGCGATATATATTAATTAAACATGAAAAATAAACTAAATGACAATTTTCAAGTTACAGTAAGAAAACTGTACAATTCATTTACATTCCAAAATGATAAAGAAATGGTCTTAAAATTTAAATTTGGTGGACATTTGTTGCAATCTGGCAACTGGTGGTGTGAGGATTTCCAAATCCATTCGCTAATCTATTGAAGGGCAATTACCAAACAAATTTTTTAATAATTAACTGTAATTAATCTCGGAAAAAACAAAAATTTACTCGTTCTTGTTTTATATTTTAAATATAAGCTTTCTCCCTTTATATTTGAAGCGTACAACATATTATATACATTATAAAAACATGGCAACACTGTCA